CTGTAAACATGCTGTGCGTGTGGCGTTGGCTGTGTGTTTACCATGTGAGTTTTCAAGTATAAGTACCTTCATAGACGGACATACACAGATATGTGTATGTGTGTATGCATGCACCTGTGTATGCATGCATGCGTGTATGACTATTTGTATGTTCGCATGCATGCATAAGTATGTATGTATGCATGTATGGGTATGTATGTATGCATGTATGTGTGTATGACTATTTGTATGTTCGCATGCATGCATAAGTATGTATGTATGCATGCATGGGTATGTATGTATGCATGTATGTGTGTATGACTATTTGTATGTTCGCATGCATGCACAAGTATGTATGTATGCATGTATGTATGTGTGTATGTATGCATGTATGCATGTATGTATGCATGCATGTATGTATGTACTGTATTACTGTATGTATGTATGTATGTACTTATGTATGTGCATGTGTTCCTTCACTAGTACCTACTTTTCGACAGACCGAGAGACACATACCTGAACATTTGAGGTTGTTTTGTCAGCGATGTTATGACTGCAGGCAGGTCTGCTCGAGCTAAACTACTACCGAAAAACAAGCCCAAAACAGCTTAGACGCTAAACCCTAATCCCTAAAAAAACACTTGGTGAGCCGGCAACCGTGGGCACATCAGTTTTGGTTCGAGTCCATTTTGGATTCCTGTGGCTGCTGCCCCAACCGATGTCGCGCACCCGACTTGGGGCCCTAGGACCTCTAGAACGGTAGTTCCTGGTTTAGGGTTTGGGTTTTAGGGTTTGGCAGACTAGAGAGACTCCGAAACTAGGTGTCTATCATTCAGGCCCCGACATTCCGGAGCTGGCGGCTAGAATCCAAGCAGAGCACGTGTGATAATCTTAGGGGGTTCTGAACTCAAGCGGACAAAAGGAGAAGATCTGAACAATCTCAGCTGCAAGCTACGCTTTTACGGCTCGTTAAGGCTTAGATCTGAAGGCGGGTGGTCAAGGCGTGTGTGGTTTCGGTCCTGGGTGCTTCAGAACTGTTTTACAGAGGAGTCGTGAGTCGAGAACCCGAAACGGGGATCGTGCTAGTAATACAGAGGTTACTAGTAGCTACTTGCCTTTCGGGCTTGTTTCTCCAGCTATACTATAATGTGCCCCACAACGCCCTTTCTAGCTAAATATTTCCTGAACCTTGCAGGGTTCCTGATTCCGGTTGCTTTATCTAAGTCTTTTAAAAGGTGGTTCTAAACCCTCAACCCTAAACCCTAAACCCTAAACCCTACAGTAAACGGGAAAGCCGTGGCAGACCGAGGCTTTCAGGGGCCCAAGGGAGTGTTCAAGGTTTTCGGGTTTGGGAAAGCTCAGTAAAGAAGGGACCCTTAGGGTTTATTGCGTTTAGGGTTTAGGGTTCCTACCTAAGTAGTGCAACCCTCGGTGCATAAGGATTTTTTAGCATTATCGGGGCTCGGATACGAGTTTTATGCAAAACTCACTTAGGCTTGTTGGATTCAGGGCTTGGGGTGGACGTCTGAACTTATGGGTAATTCACTCCTCTTCGTGCATTGAGACTGGCCAGGGCAGCCGCGAAAGTTGCATCAGTGAATCTTGAGAGAGCACGGGCAGGCATCACCCCACCCAAAGTCATCAAATTTGGGCAGTTCTCTAGACTAGGGGTGTCTTTTTGGGTCCCAAATATAGAGCGGCACCCTTATAAAAAGGGCCCTACAAGGGACCCTGATTGAGAGAAGTACCCACTTGTGCTCTTTATGAACCCTAGGCCCAACAACCCCTCAGCCCCTAACTTAGTTCCCCAATACCCAACCTTTAAACGTTTTGGGTTCTGAAAGTTTAGCCTTTTATTTCCCTGGCTTATTGGGGGAAGGAAGGCGGCAGGTCGAACTTCAAAGCTCACTAACCCTTCTGAGCCCATGTGAAAACTCCAGAAAGCTACAACACCGAAAACCAGCTTACAAACCATCCTAAATCCTAGACCCGAAACACTAAACCCTAAACCCTGAATCCTAGACCCTAAACCCTAAACCCTGAATCCTGGATCCTAGACCCTAAACCCTAAACCCTGAATCCTAAACCCTAAACCCGAAACGCCAAGCTTTCACCGAGATCTGCAGCATCGAAGAAGTCGACGTCAACCGTGCCAGAGGCCGCCTTGGCTGGATCCAGAGGAAGCCTTAAACAACCAGGGTTTAGGGGTTTGGGGGTTTAGGGTTTAGGATCTATGGGTTTAGGGTTCAGGGTTTAGGGTTTAGGGTTTAGGGTTTAGGCAAAGGTTCCGGAAAGGCTTTAGGGTATGTAGGATTTGGGATTTTAGGTCCTTTCGTGGCTCTATTTCAAGGGTGCTGCTGGTTCCATGAGGTTATCATCGGGATGCTATGCTGCGGAGCGTGCCTGTTATTTCTGAAGCCCCAAACGGCGGCATGAAGTTGTGGATCGGTGTGATTGGGGGTGTTCTTGGCCATGTTATGAAACCTCCCTCGACGTTATGGTTCACGCTTTCCATGCAAGGGCCAAAGCTACGCTCGAATAAATTGTGGACGATGGCATATATAGAACATGGATGAACATGGCGTGCATGGGACCCCTAAACCCTAAACCCTAAACCTAAGGGAATACTCTTGCTATCCCGTGGGATCTAGCCTGTAGCCCGAAGATGTCTTCCTCTTGAGCAACGTCCTGCAGCCAGGCCAAGCCTATGGCCTACCAACCAGGCTTGGGGCCTTAGTAATTACCTATAGTTATAGTCTTGTATACCCCCGAAAGCCTATTCTAATTATTAAGGCCCCTATTTTACCAACCCCGAACTAGCCCCTGCCTCGTCCACAAGCAGTCTCAGCAAAACTGATCCTCCCCTGTAAACATGTGTCGCGAACCATCCCTCAGTGTCCATGCACAATGATGTAGTATGCGCTCTAGACCTACATTGATCTACAGCCATTCAAACGGACCCGAAACCCAAGACCCTTGTTCTGGCCCTCTAGAGGCACCGGGAGAGGACCTCCGAAATTTCAAACGAAGCCTAAACGCGGGCCCTAAACCACACTCCTAAGTTAAACCCTAAATCTTAAACCCAAACTCCCAACAACCCTTAAGCCTAAACCCCATCAACCCTTATAGAATCTCTACAGGTCCTATTAAAGGAGGCCTCAAGAGTCCCCTAAGATCCTGTAAAGGAGCCCTCAATTTTAGGGTTTAGGGTTTAGGGTTTAGGGTCAAGAAACCCTCACGATGCGTTACAGGAGCCCTCAAGACTCCCTAAAGACGTTTTATACAGTATCCCTCTAAACCCTAGATCCCACAGACCCTTTCAAGGATCCCTGAAACCTAGACCCTCAAGACCCTTTAAAGGATCCCTAAACCCTAAACCCTAAAGACGCTTTAAAGGATCCCAAACCCTAAACCCTAAAGACCCTTGAAAGGATCCTCAAATTCCGAACCCTAAACCCTAAAGATTAGGAGAATCCCTAAACCTTAAACTCTAAGCCATTAAGCTCTAAGCCCTAAAGACGCTTGAAAGGATCCCAAACCCTAAACCCTAAAGACCCTTTAAAGGGATCCCTAAACCCTAAAAATAGATCTCTAAACCCTAAACCCAAAACCTTTTAAGCCCCTTTAAAGCATCCCTAAACCCTAATTAAACCCTTTAAGTCCCTTTAAAGGATCCCTAAAGCCTAAACCCTAAACCCTTTAAGTCCCTGTTAAAGGATCCTGACAAGCTGACAGGCCTGGAGGTGATGGTTGGCCGCTGGGCAGCGCGAAGTCCCTGGGCTCTTGCCCGAGCCTCGGGAGAGTACCGGAGCTCCTGGTCCTTTGCGGATCCTTTAAAGGGGCTTGATGGGGTTTAGGGTTTAGGGATCCTTTAAAGGGTCTTTAGGGTTTAAGGTTTTAGGGTTTAAGGTTTTGGGTTTCAGGTTTAGGGTTTAAGGTTTAGGGTTCAGGGGTTACTTTAAAGTTCATGTCTTTGTGAATTCCGTGAAAGGAACCCTACACGGAGCCTTATAGACCCCCAGGGTTCCTTTAAGGCTCCCTTTAAAGCCTTTAAAGGAACCCTAAACGGAACCTTATAGACCCCTAGGATCCTTTTGGAATTCCGTTAACGGCTAGTCTGGTAGAACCAACAAATTCTGGTGCCCCGTGTGTTGTTCTACCCCCTCCCCTCGCAACCCATGCCGCCCAGCCGGAAACGAGGTTGTTGTTACCCGGTAGAACAAACAATTCTGGCCTCCCCCTACAACCACGACCACAACCACAACCACAACGACAACAGCAGCAACAATAACAAGCACAACAACAGCAACAACAACAATAACCACAACTACAACCACAACCACAACGACGACAACGACAACAACGATAACAATAGTAATTACCATTACAATGAACATCACACAAGCTTAGAGCATCGCATTGTCGATGGCAGCTCGGATGCAGGCAGACGCCCAGGCTCGGAAGCGTGGACGGATGGCTGTTGTTGAGGACTCGACTGAATGTCTTTGTTTCACGAAGGCTATAGGGTGTTTATAGTATATAGTATATAATGCAGGGGCCTTAGTCATTATAATCATTATAATTGGGTTTTGGGGGTTCCTTATTATGATTATAGTATAATATACCCCAACCCTCTTCTACTTATTCAGGCCCCGATATTAGGTCGTAGGGTTGACGGTTGGAGGCTGGAGGGGCCAAATATTCAGCTAGATGTCGGGGGTTTCCGGGGCTTGGGATTTTTCCCTCAGCCTCGGAGCTACTTCAAGCCACCCGTCTTGACGACTCAAACCCCAAGCCCAGACTTGGGACACCGGAGCCCCAAAACAAGTCAGACCGAAAGGCCCAAATCCCTAAACCTTAAGCTTAGGGTTTAGGGTTTAGGGTTTAGGGTTTACCTGCATCGCCATAGTTGAGCAACTTTCCTGGGACTAGTCACTGGTGACCTGTCTTTTGTCGGTGGCCTAAACCCCTTTGCATCGAAACAATCTTAAATGATTTGGATCCTTGTCCCTCGCACATTTTCATGCCCATGCCTTTGCGAGTGCGACCTTGTAAAGGTACAAAGATCTGTCCGGCACAAAACGAGGGCTGACACTCCTTGCCAGAGTAGCGATGCGGTTGATAAAGTCCTCTGGCATTTGGCACGAATAGGCCAAAGGATTCAAAGGTGTTCGATTGGCATCCCTGTCCAGCATCAACTGGTACACAACATGCATCAGCATGTGATATTTGGGTGTGAGCTTGAAGCGAGCCAGCGATCTCGAGAGTGCCAGTGCTGCACAACGAGTATACGAAGAAATCATCTCCAGCCCAAGTCGCACAATCTTTACCAGTCGTCGTCTCGCCAGAAAGAGGCCGGCTTTATACAAAGCACTCAAGAATCCATCAGAAGCTTTCAAGCATTCATGAATGGCTTGCATATAACTCCGATCGCCTTCGCACAGCAAATCTTGCGAAGCCAGTACAGTGTCGAACTTGAAGACGAGAAACTTGAGGACGAAGGTTGTATCAGCCCCTTTAAACCATGACCTCGGCACAACAAAGAGACCGACGATGCACAAAGATATATCTATTACAATGTTTGACACAAAGGAACTACAATGAACTACAAAATGATGCGAAGTTGTGGGGGGCACCCAGTGGGAAAGTCTGCTGCCGAAGAGATCGCCAACATCCCCCTGGTCAAAGCATTCATATGCAAATAAAGATCTCGATCAGCAGCGAAAGCTTTCATCTCCCGAAATAAATGAGCGAGGTTCTTGTCCAGACCCTTTGCAGCAGAGCCGGTCACTCCGAGATCCCGGAGAGTCATCTCAGTTGCGAGCAAACAAAAACTTTAAGTATGAGACTATGCAGTAGAATTTAGTTGATCAGGCTTTAGGGAGTCTAAGGCATTTAGGGTTCAGGCCGGCTATAAAACCCATACTAGGGGCCTGAATACTTAGAACAGGGTTTTGGGGCCCTTTATACTCTACTTATCTAAACCCTAAACCCTAAACCCTTTATACTATACTTATAATAAGGAGACCCCCAAAATAATAGTGGTAGTTATGAAGGCTCCTATATTATGTGGTTTTTCATCGGCTTTGTACGCGTTATTGTCTCCAGGTTTACGTCTGTTGCTAGATTACATGTACATGTGTATATATATATA